TTACTAGGTTTTTGTGCTTTTTTTGTTGTGTTTCGATGTGCACTATACCGTGTTCTGTTGTGTTTCCACTGTTATTATGGGTGATAACTCAACTGTTGGTGTTGTTGTTGATGCTTTTGCAAATTTGTATCTTTCTCACTTTATTCGAGGTACTTGCTCCAATACTTGGATAATTGACACTGGTTACTACTGATCATATGACTTATAATGCTAAATTATTAGATGAGTTGTCTAGTAACACCCGTGACCCATACATAATGATGCAGGAGCGGCTATAAGTGGCTGTCCAGGGACCCAAACGTACCCAAAATACAGAGAATAGAAGGATAAAGCTGTAGAATTGAAGTTGAAACGAAGATAATTGAGTTATAGGGATAAATTCCCAAAGAAAACTCTTTAGACTAAAGTCTGAAATTGTATTGATTGAAAACTGAATACAAAAGTCTCTTAATAGCTTATTTATACTAGAATACACCGGCCTAGAATTCCTATTCCTAGTTTACTAAGAAAACCCAATTGATAAGGGAAATTAGAAACAAAACAAGAAACTTAAACCAAATCCTAATGAAGAGAGGAAAACATTTAATTTAATAATTTAAAATATCTAAAACTTAGCCCTTTTTGACTAGGATTGATACTCCTGCATCAACTCCACCGGGTTGGAAAGAACTCGACTTTGGTGAGAAAGCTTTAACAACTTCAGCATATATCTCTGGATCAATCCTCTTTAATATTTTTTTTTTCAGGAACCCACGTGCTCTCGGTAGCATTCTTACCCAACCATTTCACTAAGAACCGCCTATACTGGTTACCCCTCCTTGACTTTACCTCTTTGACATCCAACACATCTTCAACAATCTCAGGTTGAGCCTTTGGAAGTTGTTGGATTTGTGCCTCTATTGAAATAAGAATTTTATGCTTGTGTAAGGAAAAGAGGATAAACTTGAAGTAATAGGGTATACATATTCAGATTTTGCTGGGTGCATTGATGACAGAAAATCTACAAACGGTTACATCTTTTTTCTGGCAGGTGGAGGTGTTTCTTGGAAAAGTGCAAAGCAAACTAAAATTTCTACCTTTACTATGCAAGCTGAGTATATAGGGTGTTATGAAGCCACTAAACAAGCGGTGTGGGTGAGGAACTTCATGGGAAATATTGTGATTGTGGACTCTATATCAAGGCCATTAAAGATCTTTTGGGATAATAAGGCTGCAGTATTCTTCTCCAAGAACAACAAAAGAACATCTGCCTCAAGGATTATGGATGTAAAATATCTAGTTGTTAGAGACAGAGTGAAGAATGAAGAAATCATCATTGAACACATTGATTCTCAATCCATGATTGCTGATCCTTTGACTAAGGCATTACCAGTGGGAGTTTTTAAGGATCATGTAACTCTAATTGAATCTTTTGATCAGTGGGAGTAAGGTTTGCTTAATATATGTTTCAGTTTCATATGTTCTGAAGAAAGTTATGCAGATAAATGCCATTATTGTTTTTCAATTCAATTCTTTATACTGTTCGAATTTAAGGAAGAACACAAGCTCTTGTTTTAAACATTGTTTATTTGTTGTTTTTGATAGATGTCATCTTCTGCAAAGTGACTTGAAAGAAATTCAAATGTCTTGTTTTAAGCAAGACATAAGGACTTCTTTACTGAAGTATAAAGTGGTTTGCAAAAACTATTAGGAAGGACCAACATGTGGAAACATCTGGTATCTCACTATCACATTTATTGAAAGTATCTTGTAATTCTGATTCTAATCCATGTAATCACAGAACACTAATGCAATTAAAGATGCACGAATTTTTTCTGTGGTTCTATATTAAGAGTTAGTTTTGACTAGTGCTTTAGGATTCAGTTAAGTATATGGGCTCAGTGATCACTAAAGACTCTTGGACTTGTCATGGTAAAATATGTGCAGTATATGATCCATCTACGCCCAAGTAAGAGAATGTAAGATAATTTGGGCTTTCATTGATTATGTACAAGGCACAATTTTACTATGATTAAGCCTAAAAGGGAGCCCTGATTAGTTGACTAATAGAGTATCCTAATAAGGAAGGCAATCAAGCCCTAATAAGGTGTGTCTATTGGTATTAATTAAATAAGATACTGAAGGGAGCAATCACATTCCTTGATAGGGGGATCTGATTTGTATTGTATTCTTATATAAGGAGGTCCCTGCTCTCACAGCAATACACGTTCTAAAATACCAAGTCCTATTTACTAGTTAGAGTATTCGGTGCTGCGGAGAGTAGAAGCCTTCCTTATCTGTTGTGATCAATGGCTTCATTAGGTAAGACTCAATTCTTGTACTCTTAGTTCTTATGGTTCAATTCATATGATGAGTGTAGTTCTTTGCACGTAGCTATTTGGATTAAATGTATTCATCTATGTGCTTACAGAACTTGCATGTCTTTTGAACTAGTGTACATCAGTATAGTAATGGAGCTTGCTTTGGTTTTCTGGTAAAACTGCTATGCTCTGTCTACTTATTGTCTTGGAACTTTGCTTCTTTCAGTGTCTCTCGTTGCTTTTATGGTTGGAAGAACGCTACGAGACTGTATACACACGCCATCCTGGTTTCCAAAAAGGATCTAAGCCGCTCCTTGTAGTAGATAACCCATTCCCAATGGTGTTGGAATCCCACATCGGTGGAGTGAAAGAAAACAAATGGGTTTAAATAGAATTACCACACTCTAACTAATACCGAGGCCTTTTGTAATAAAAACTCCACACCTGACGGATTGGGCGGGTGGTAAAGTGGGGACAGTATCGGTGTTGTTAGAATGGGACCCAACGGGCAGATCCAAATTTTCAACATGGTATCAGAGCCAAGGCCCGTACAAGCTAATGATGCTTGTAACCAAAAAAAAAAAAAACAAAAAAAAAAAAAGCAAAAAAAAAAAGAAAAAAAAAAAAAAAAAAAAAAAAAAAAAAAAAAAAAAAAAAAAAAAAAAAAAAAAAAAAAAAAAAAAAAAAAAAAAAAAAAAAAAAAAAAAAAAAAAAAAAAAAAAAAAAAAAAAAAAAAAAAAAAAAAAAAAAAAAAAAAAAAAAAGCCGATGTGTGGATCTTCACGTGTGATTACACGTGAGGGGGAGTGTTGGAATCCCACATCGGTGGAGTGAAAGAAAACAAATGGGTTTAAATAGAATTACCACACTCTAACTAATACCGAGGCCTTTTGTAATGAAAACCCCACACCTGACGGATTGGGCGGGTGGTAAAGTGGGGACAGTATCGGTGTTGTTAGGATCTAAGCCGCTCCTTGTAGTAGATAACCCATTCCCAATGGAACTTCCAGAAAATCTTGTTGGGGAGAAATCGGCCTTTATCCAATTGCCCTTTTCAGGTAAAGGACTTGCTAATGAAGATTTCTGGGTCTTGATAGATATAACAACTCACATCCTGTCACCTGCCCTAACCATCCAATATTTCTTTTTAACATTTCATGTTTCCACACTAAATCTAACTCCTGTTGTCAGCTGTTCAAGAGGAAATCTCATCCTTGGACTCAAACCTCATGTTTGGTGCGAGTCTAGATTTGGATTTGTTGGGGATTGAAATTGATGACAAGACATTGATTCCAGGATCTTCACGTGCTAAAGCTCTAGCAGGTGTACATTCTCTCCAATATCATCTTCCGGTCTTTCTATATCCAGATAATTATTTCTTTCTTCTTATGCATTTTCACTCTATCTATACACAGCAAATATCTTTGGATAGATGTTCTTCGTACAGATAGCCTAACATATTATGTTGCTAGATTGTTAATATAAACCATTGGTCGAGTGGACTGTAATTTGAATTTGTAGTCCAGATTGACCGTCAACCAACTTACCATGTGAAGTTCCTTGACAAGATCACAGTATCCTACATGGACATAGACCCAATTTTTTATCAGGCCAGTGATATTCTACCCTTAGAGTGGTAGTGATAAACTTGGTTCCATCATGGTGTGATACGTTCTCCTTGAATCTGCTATCTTATTCATGTTGTGTCGTATACAATTTTCTGGTGTTCCTCTAACCGTAAGAGATCATAATCACATCTGGAAGTTTGTTCAATTGAAGCCGATTTGTCATGGGCTCGCTTGATTCTTTCTGTTGGAATTCCTGTGCGATATATTTATGCTCCCGACAATAAAACTCCTGAAACAGCAAGTGAAGCTGAAGCTTGGGAAGCAGCAAAGAAGGATTGTGGAGGTTTGCACTTCCTTGCAATCCAGGGTGACTTGGATTCGGATTATTGTGTTGGATTTTGGCTTCTACTAGACTTGCTACCTCCACTTGTATAGAGTGTAATCAGTCCAAACAAATTTTAAAAGGAAATTACTCTTGCACATTAGTTTTCTCAGTTACATCGCTTCATGCTTCCTAGCTGCAGAAATGACAGCAAATATTCCGTTGCAGCTGAGTTTTCTTATTAAGGGTTTTCGCCGCTCGTGATTTTTATTACTTGGTCTCAGATCACATACTCATAATTCTATTTCTGAAAATGCTGAAAACGGTAAGTCACACTCATTGTATGGGGTTTGTATGTGGGTCTGAAGCTTGGGATTTGGGCCGAATCTAAATCCCAGCATCTGAATTCTGAACCGCGGCTTCTTAAATTTAATTCAATGTATGATGTTCACCTCTCAAAAACTACCAAAAAAAGCTCAAAACAAAACATGGATCTGGTAGGGGTGGGGGGCTGCAGCTTTTAGGCGGTCGGTGTTGTTGCCGGAGGGGTGAAGGTGCTTGGGGATGATGGTGGGAGGGAGGCAGCGGAGGGTAGGGGAAGAAGGTGGGAGAGACATAAGATAGAGATGTCTTTAATTTGGGAATTTTCTGTAATTGACCCAAAAAAATAAAACAAAGAAAGAAAGCAATGGAATGATGGTATATTCAGTAGCTCTTCAAATTGCTAAAATCTGAAATTCAAATTTACCTAAACGGTTAGAGATGATCTAACTTCTTTTCAGGTAGAAAATATTTCCAAATACACATATGGTAATCTTAACCCTCACTCATACTCCTTGATTTACCCCAAAGAGCATATGCAAATTATGAATATTCTCTCCCTTTTCGAACTACATTAAACTTCCAAGGAGTATATTTGTAAAGGATTCTGTACTAAAAATGTCAAATGAAAAATTAAACACAAGAACGAACTTGGGGAATACACATAATTTAGCAGTAAACACAATATCTATAAATTCAACCCCAGTAATCAAAACTGGAACTCTCCTCAAAACTGCATGAGATGCTAAGAAATGCCGCAAAAATGTTGAATCTTCTTTTTCTCAGGCAAGCACTTTTGAGTCTAACGTGCCAGCTTTTGTCACAACTTCCTGAACATCTTGGTGATTCTGCAGAGGCATAGTTGACAACAAGAAGTTATGAAAAAAATGATAATTTTGGAAAATTACATGAGAAATTCTTGGTGCCATAATATCAAAGAACACAAAAGTGACCTGGTACACAGTACACTACAAAAAATTCACAAGTGTAGGCCACGTTTGTTGCCTAGGATTGGATTGGATACCTTATTAGATTCAAGGTATGTTGAAATAAGAAATGAAGGTAGAGCAGAAGGATTTTTCATCGTGTGGGAAGTTATAAGGTTTCCTTCATAACTAATCCATCTTTTACCTCCAACTTGGTGGGGATTCTAAGGGGGGGAACTTACAATAAGATTAACTCCATTCTCTCAGCTGGGCAATAGAAGGAATTGAGTCTCTAATCCCCACCTAGGACAGTAACCATAGAACTTCACTTCTTAGCATTAGCAAGGTAGCAAAGCAGCAAAGGAGGAAGCAAGAACTCTTAACTAACCCGAAGGCGAGCGAAGTGACTCCCCCAACCAACTTCGAAGACTTTGTTTTGGAGAGAAGAAAGGAAGGGGGGAGATGCGATTCATCAACAAAGGGATAAGGAACTTTTAAGCCACTCTTCTAATTGGCTATTTCCGATCGGATCTTGCCAGGAGTTAGTGTATTGATGCCGAGAATACGCTCTTTGATAGAATAAGCTCTTGTCTCAATATACGCTGTTTTAGCATTCTCCGAGCAGGAGAACATGAAGCTTGTTTGCTCTTTTGATTGAGTTCACGAAGGCTTTATTGAAAAGACTTTCTGATTTTAAATAGAAAGAAAGTCCAGACCAGCGGCTGGCGCCTCCTCACTTTCTAGGAAGACCAAAACGGAGGTCTCTCCCAAAGCTGAGGTATCCACAGTTCTATCGGCATTCCTCCACACGGAAGAAGGAAGACCACTGAACAGGAATAAGTATCCGATTCAAAGTCTTCGTTGCATATGGGTACCTCAGGCTACGGGTCCGGTCTCGTGTGGTACCAATCTATAGGTCCAAAAGGGGGGAGGAGACCTCCGAAGGAGCGGTGGCATACTTGCGGTGCACTCACTCCCGTTACGAGAATGAAATCACGCCCACCCAGCTCGATACCAAGACTCCTTACCACTCGCACCAATAGCAGCACTGAGCGGCCGGAGATTGATTGAAAGGGCAGCCAAGCCCCTTCCCTTTCATTTTATTATTGTGATCAAGAGCACACACTGGACCTGACCCACTAATCATCATCTCATCTAGCTCGAAGCAAAAAAGGGAGGGCCCTTCCTTCCCAGCCCAACCCCCCCCCTAGCCGCCTTTAGAGATCCTTAAGAAAAGGCATAAAGCACTAAAATAAAGGGGTTTAACGCACGTTTTCAGAAGCTTAGATCCCATCATACACAAGAAGTCTTAAACTGCTTTTGGCTTCCATTTCTTCCTTCAACATACCTTGAATCTAGTGAGTTATCCAATCCAATCCAATCATAGGCACCAAACACAGCCACACAGTAATAACAAAAGGTCCCAAATCAGAAAAAGATCAGTAGCCAATTAACATGAATACAGCATAAAGCATATAAAACCAAAACAGTTAATTTAAAAATACCAACACTGTAGGCTTTTCAGAAGATATTTCCAAAATATGAAAAGAAATTCTCTACATCGACAACAAAGTAGACCCAGAGTGGTATCAATGAATTTCAGGTACAGTTAGCTAGTTATTACTCTTGCAGCTTTCTTAATTAAACAACTACAAAAAATATGGAATAGAGCAAGAGATGAGAAATGTCAGGTACAGTTATTGTTAAACACCAAATTAGGTAGATATTCCAAACAGATAAACTGTTCAAAGGACCAACTTTCTCAAAATCAGCTGACAATTGGTTAAAGGAGAGGTATGAATCAATAAAGCTTCTTACTAACATTCTGTGAACTTTCCTTGTGAATGTTTGGTTGTCTGATGTACTTCCAGTTCCAGAAGAACTTTCTGCGGGGGCACTTTCAACGGGGACATTTTCAAGAACTTGGGGCTCAACATGACCAGCACGTGATTCTGTACCACTTGAAACACTTGAAATCGGATTCATCCCATATCCTTGCTGAATACTAGTTTGTGGAGGCTGAATAGACACAGTCGAGATATACACAACCCAGAAAATAATTTTAAAAAGGAGAAATATTGAATCATAACATATACAGATTAAATCAGTATTCTCAAAAATATGTAATTATTCGGAACATCGTTTGGAGACTACAAGTACACGACAAGCGCAAGCAAGTAATAATAGAACAAATTTGTAGAACCAGGAATACAATTATACAAGGCAGGAAGGAAAGTAAATATTCAGAATATTAGTCCAACCAAAACTATGTATTTCTAGCAGAAACCAAGCAAAACTGTAGATAATGAATATCACCTTTATTTGTTCTTTTGGTTCCATATACAAAACTGAATCAATAAACCACGCAAGATATAAATTTTGGAATTTATGAAATAGAAAGGAAAGAATGTGGGCGAAAACTCACCAGTCTTGCAGAAGATGGACTGTGGCGTGAAGTGGTGGGGCCAAGGCTGTGACATTGAAGAAAATGTAGAAATTAGAAGACAACAGAGTGGTAACCTAGGGTTCTACCTTCACGAGCTTTTCTTTCATGCACATGAGTTGCGTATGAGTTACTACAGCTATTAGTCCGACAATCCTAAAACCCAACATCAACTGCACTCTCATCAACTTCAATCTAATAGCTGAAGTAATTCATGTGCCCTTAGCTGCAACTGACCCGTGTGCATGAGAGAAAACCTCCTCTACTCTCTTATACAGAGGAAATAGTTGAACACTTGAATTAAATTTTTGATCAAGAAAAAGGAGAGACACAATAAGAGCAATATAATATGTTGATGATATCCACAATTCATGCACTTAATGTTGTTGGATGTACCGCGAGGATACAGAAACCATCAAACAATTAACAGAAACACTACAGAAAGCATATGAATACCAAAGACCTATGAAGTACTTAATTTTGTAAACACCAATGATGCATGTTTTCAGAAGAAAACGCCAAATTATAAAAAGCTGTATCTCAAAGCTGCAACAGTATCCGGACAAAAAAAAAAAAGAAGCTGCAACAGTATGATGTCTGATCTAGCTAATCAGCGGCCATCCTTTAAGCTTCAGATAAATCGTGTCAATATTGTTTCAGCATTTAACTATATTTGTATATGCAATGTTGAATGTTGGGTGGTGTAAATTAGGGGAACTGAAGTTTGACAACAAGATGCCTTTAAGGCATTTCATCAAACAGGGAGAAAAGCAGTGACAATTCCAGGAAGATAGTAGGGCCAAAGCTTCAAACCCTCCAAATATAAAGGATACAAAAGAGCCAGTGAGGGCAATCACATGTGGCTGCGTCATTCAGAGTCACTTGTAAGTATTGCTGAAATTCCAAAAAGATAAAATGCCCAAACACGTAAATTTCTCAAAACCCACTAACATTGACAATGCATTAAAGAAAACGTGATGAATCAACATATGCAGAGATAAAGATAAGAACAGCTGATTGAATTCCTAAATTTGTCAAATTACGGTCATAATCTAACACTTGAACCTGATCCAAATCAGAAAAAGAGAATTTAAAAAAAAAAAAAATAGAGTTCTTACTCTTTCTTAGTCTTCTTCTGGCTCTGAGCTTGTGGGTTGTTGTGAAGGACATGTGAGCCTTTACCGCTAGACGGTGCATGCGGGGCAAAGCGTTCCGCAATATCATCCCAATTTACAAGCCGCGTTGATGCCATAGACATAGAGTTGCTGTTACACGCAAACGAAAAGGAAGTAAAAACAAGCGAGTTTGGTGACGAGGAGTTTAAAGTGAGGAGTTTATGGAGAGTGTAATGGCGGCCAAACGCCAGATATGGAGGCTCCACCAAGGAGGTTGAAGTGAGGTGGCTATTTAGGGAATTCAATCTCACTATCATACAGGCGGGTCGCGGCATAAAGAAATCATGTGGGGACCTCAAATAAGTATCCTTCAAAACTTCGCCTTAGCCTTGGCACATGCCACTTTTGTCCTTTTTAATACACGCAAATGAAAGATTACAAAGAAAGTCTCTAGACAAAGGGCCCAAAGATGTAACGCACCAAGAATAGAAAGAGGAAGCCCATCCTCCCAAAGCCTAGGGGGGTTAAAAGCCCAGGTGCTACTTTTGTTGAAGAAATGGAACAAGTAAAAGTCTTTGTTTTTGAGTTGCAAAAACAAATGAATCAAGTGAGCTAGGTCAGCTATTTACAAGGGTCACAATGAATCAACGGAGAGAGGCTAATTCATAGCTTTTTTGGGGGGGGGTTATCTCAGATTCTCAGTTCAGTGGGTGAGCAGAAGTGATAAAATGATCATGTTGTGATGAATCCATATGGGACTTAAACAAGATTTGAAACAGAAAAATAAAAATTTGATCATCAGAAGAGAGAGAGAGCAAAAGAAAGGAGAGAGTAGTTAAAAAAAACCAACCCATTTGAATTTGGACGTAATCCGGTGTCAACAAAGAGAAACTCCACCGCATACATGTCGACAATGGCAGTTGACGATGGTCATTGATGACTCGGGCCTGTGTGTGTTTCAGACGTAGCCAATACTGCTGCATTTTCCATCCAGATGTCATTTCAGAAGAAACAGAACCAAAATTCAGCAAGGCAGGAAGAAAAAAACCAGCAAAGATTTGAAGAAGAAGAGGAAAACATAGCATCTGGAAAATGCAGCAAGGTCAATGACTACAAAAGCACTAAACAAGGTGCAATCCACTAAGCAATACTCTAAACAAAGGAAAGTACAAAGGCACGCTGATTTGCCGGACGGACAACGTGACTCTTTGTCGTGTCCTCATCTGGACAGCATGATGTATATATATTAGGGAGTTTCACTAAAACACCCAAAATAGGAGTTGAAATTATAAAAAAACTCAAGCACTATTTAAACATAGAAACACACCCAAAATTAACCCCAAAGTCAACTTTTTGGGTGTGTTTATAAATAGGTTTTGAGTGTGTGTAATGATGGATTTTGGGTGTGTTTATATGTTTAAATAGTGCTTGAGTTTTTTTATAAATACATGTCTAGGATTGGGTTTATTTATAAATTTGTATATATATTATTGTTTTATACGATATCACTTTCTTTTTTCCATTTTTAAATTATCCAATTCTCTGCAACAACTGAAAAGCCATTGTTTTTATTTTTTTTGGTTGGTCGAATTTGGAGGTATTCAATGGTGATTTCAAACGACTGCATCAAAATTTGAGTGTGTTCAAAAAAATTATTGACTTTGAAGGAAACATAAAAAGTGATCAATTTCGATTGATTTTACACTTATTTTAGGCCATGACAAATATTTGTTCCCCTCCCCAAAGATTTTGATAGATATAGTATTTTTAATTCTCAAGATATGATTCTAGTATATGTTTCAGTATTGTTGATTGAAGATTACACTGTCACATTCAATAAAATGGAATGCTCTTTACAACAAGTTAATTGAATCATATGTAAATGTACTATGATAGATGATCTCTACCAAATTCAAATTGTGGAAAATAGCAACTGCTTGATTGAGATGTCAAAACCTAAGAGGCCCAGAGAAAAACTCAATCCGACTCAAGTTTGGCACATAAAATTATGACACATTGACCAAGATAGGATCCAAAGGATGGTCAAACATGGATACCTTGAATCTTTGGGTTCAGTCCTTATGCCCACCTACGAATCCTATCTTGAATTAATCCACACTGATGTATGTGGTCATTGTCCACTACATCAAGGGGTGACTTTTCTTACTTCATTACGTTCACCGATGATTACTCTCGGTTGGGCCATGTATACCTAATAAAGTACAAGTCCCAGGTCTTTGAAAAGTTCAAAGAATTCAAGAATGAAGTTGTAAAGCAAATAGGAAAGAGTATCAAGATTCTAAGATCATATCAAGGAGGAGAATACTTGAGTAGTGAGTTTCTTGAATATCTCAAGAAATATGGCATCCTATCTGAGTGGACTCCACCTGGAACTCCACAACTTAATGATGTCTCCGAAAGGAGAAACTGAACATTGATGGACATGGTCTGATCAATGATGAGTTATATTAATTTGCCAGTATCGTTTTGGGGATATGCACTTCAAACTGCAACATACTTGCTAAATAGAGTACCTTCCAAATCCGTGCCCAGAACACCATATGAAATGTGGCTTGGGAGGAAGCCAAGTATTAATCATCATAAGATATGGGGTTGTCCGACTTATGTCAAGAAGCATGATTGACAAGGTAGACACTAGATCAGAAATGTGTAGATTCATTGGATATCCAAAGGAAACTTTAAAATACTATTGCTACCATCCAAACAAACAAAAAGCGTTTGTTGCAAGATCTGCAAGATTTCTTGAGATTGATTTTGCATTGGATGACACATGTGTGCAAAAGGTTGAGCTTAAGGAAGAGTCTGGAGAGCCTCATTGGGAGATGACATGGAAGATCCTGAAACCTACATGAAGACAATGTTGGACATTGACTCAAAGAAATGGCAGGAAGACATGAAATCTGAGATGGATTTTATGTATGCCAACCAAGTCTGGATTCTGGTTGACCTTCCCAAAGGTATTGTACAAATAAGAAACAAATGGGTCTTCAAGAGGAAAAAGGGCTCATATGGCAAGGTGGAGACCTATAAAGCTAGATTAGTAGGTAAAGGCTATAGAAAAAGGGAGGGAATTGACTATGAAGTAACTTTCTCTCCTGTAGCAATGATAAAATTCATACGCATACTTCTCGCCATAGCAGCACATTATGACTATGAGATATGGCAGATGGTGTGAAAATAGCTTTTCTGAATGGCCACCTTCAGGAAGAAATCTACATGGATCAACCTGAAGGATTCATATCTAAACATGAAGAGAAGAAATTATGCAAACTTCAAAGGTCAATCTATGGACTGAAGCAGGCTTCAAGGAGTTGGAACATTCGTTTTGATGATGTTATTAAAGGTTATGGTTTTAGCCAAAATGAAGATGAACCTTGTGTGTATAAGAAAAATAGTGGGAGCATAGTCATATTCCTCGTACTATATATAGATGACATATTAATGTTTGGAAATGACATAGGCATGTTGACCTCTGTGAAACTATGGTTATCAAAGACCTTCTCAATGAAGGATATGGGAAATGCATCTTACATACTGGGTATCAAGATCTATAGGGATAGATCGAGAAAACTAATTGGATTATCTCAATCCCTATATGTGGACAAGGTGCTCAGAAGATTACAAATAGAACATTTCAAAAAAGGTTTTCTACTAATCAGACGTGGTATTCAACTATCTAAGAGCATGAGCACTAAAACCCCAGAAGCAGTGATACAGATGAGCAGGATACCATATGCCTCCGCAATTAAGAGCCTAATGTATGCCATGTTGTGTACGATGCCTGATATCAGCTATGCTGTGAGCATCACAAACAGATATCAATCAAACTCATGATCAGAACACTGGAGTACAGTAAAGACTGTGTTAAAGTACCTCAGAAGGACCAAGGATATGTTCCTAGTCTATGGAGGTAACCCATAATTACTAGTGGAAGGATATACGGACTCCAATTTCAAATCTAATGTTGATGATCGAAAATTCACTTCTGGATATGTGTTCACATTGAATGGAGGGGCAATCAGTTGGAGATGTTGCAAGAAAAGCACTATGCGGACTCCACAATTGAGCCAGAGTACGTACATAGCTGCTTCGGAAGCAGCAAAGGAAGTGATCTGGATGAAAAAGTTCATTACTGAACTTGGAGTGGTTCCAAGCATTGAGTCACCAGTCATTTTATACTGCGACAAAAATGAGGCTATAACATAAGCCAAGCAACCAGGGTCTCATCAAAGATCTAAGCACCTTCAGAGGCGCTATCACTTAATCAAGGAATATGTTGTTGATAGAGATATTAGGATATTAGCGTGCACAATGTGGCTTCAGCAGACAACCTAACAGATCCACTCACAAAGCTTATGAATTAGCTTTAGCTAAACACACACATGGAGAAGATGGGTATTAGATACATCTTAGATTGGCTTTAAAGTGCAAGTGGGAGATTGTTAGAAATATGCCCTTAAAGCCAAATAATTATATGATAGTTAGAGTTAAGGACATCTTTGACAAAAGACATATTATGTTATCAATTGGCAAGAAATGTGTTTTATACATTTAATCATCCTTTATTATCTTTCAATATGTAGAACAACCATATTCCAAGAAATACACAAGTGGATATGAGAGCAATATAATGAGATTGCATACATGGAGACTTCTCATCATCCATAAATCCTGAATATGTTCCTGGTCATAGGAATATTGATTAGGCGTCAATATTCCGCAAAGACCAGTACACACAATATCATCTCTATATGTAGGGAATGATAAAGTCTCAAGTCATTAAGTGTGGAGACACATCGATATGTGTGCAGGTGCTTGTAGAAAAACAAGTACACTAAACGCAATCCAACACATGAGTTATAGCATGGAAGTCTTTACTTATATGTCAAGCTGGAACTCATAAATTGCAACAGTGCAAACTAATCCTTAGACCTGAGGCATCATAGATGTTTTATGACTATGTTGTTAATCTTTGAGGGCACTATATGGTCATGCTGAATTAGGCATAACTTAAAGGTGCTCATCAGATTCTCAATAGAGTTATGGAAGCAAATGAATGTACAACAAGGAATCTCTACTCTCAGTAAAGGAAAGAGAATACTCCAAGATATGATTGGTCAAATCTCTGCACAGAGTAGTGGATAAGACTTGAAAGAAGAAGTTTCAAATCTTACCAAGATAATCATATAAAAGGAATGATTCATATTAGGATATTGACAATCGGATTTCATGATCTAATAATGTGAATAAGGAGTATTGACATAAGAGAAGGATTCAATTGCACGGTCATTCTAATT